TCGGGTTTGTGAGATCTAATGAAGAGACAAACCAGTTGTCTTGGTTAAGATTTCACATTGTATAGGGCTTCCACTAAAAAGATTGTAGAGTAACTGAATCCTGCCACAATAGTTCTTCATTTCTACAGAAGATTCAAGGGAATGAACACCAGCTAGGTTAATGTAATGAGCGCTGCATAGCATGTAGAAAGCTTCAGGATTTCTCTGAAGGATGATCGCTTTTACTCCTTTGTACCTACCAGACATGTTAGCACCGTTGTTGTACCCTTGACCTCGACAGATCTTCAGATTGATGTCATTTTGATCCTAGAAATCCATAATTATCTTGGCAATATCCACAAATTTCTTTTGTTTAAGATTTTCGACCTTAAGATGGCGCTATTTAACTACCTGTCTTTTATCAATACCATTGTAGACAAATCGGAGAACAAATGCAATTTGCTCAGTATAAGAAACGTCAGGCGTTCCGTCGACAAGAATAAAATAGTAAATTACCGTAAACGGGGGTGAATATGAACAGCGGGGTGAAAATGAACACTAGTACTAGCTTAACTTAATGGTGAAGCAGCACATAAAATATAGCTAAAAATAGAAATTTTTTGACTCACTTGCCTTAAATATAATGTGTGGAAGATAATTTTTGGCTGCCCTCAAAATTTTCTTTTCCCGTCTTTTCTCTATCGCATATAAACAGTACAAGCTACGTGGTTCGTGTTATTAACCCACCTATCAAGGAGTATCTTAAGAACCGCTCATCTAAACGTCATCAAAGTTACCTCAATTTAGGTTCAGGTAAATATTGTTCTAATAAAACAATAATTTAATGTATAACTTGTCTGTATCCGATTAATAAGCTCATTTGAAAATGACATTTTTTTTAACACGATTTTTTATTATATTTTGTTAATTTTTAGAACTATGCCTCGAAATTACAAGAGAAAGGAAAACAGTAGAGCGTATAAAACAAGTTATACAAAAAAAGACTTAGAAATAGCTTTAATTAAAATCAAAAACCAAGGATTTAGCTTCAGGAAAGCTTCAAAAAAGTACAATATTCCATTAGGAACATTACACAAAAAAGTTAAGCTTGGGGATCAAGTTCCGAAAAAAAACGGCGGACAAACCAGACTTGATAGTATAACAGAAAATTTATTTGTCCAAACAATTGTACATACGACTGATTGGAGGGTACCATTTGATTCTTTGGATATAAGACTTTTAGTCAAATCATATTGTGATAAAAGGAGTATAACTGACGCTCGATTCGATAAAAGTATTTTCCCGCAACGGTTTGAGTTAACAATTTATTTTTACGCTACGAGTTTAAAGAGTTTTTCATTAAAGCCTTGTGTATCTATTTTATAATGAAATAAAAAAAAAGTTTTCATTTTTGCGCCCCTTCTGATTCTGCGCCCAGGTAAAAAGTACCCAGTGACCCTCCCCACGCGGCGGCCCTGCTTGTACTTTTTCAAATTTCATAACAATATTTAATTTAATAACACTTTTTACTAAAAAAATTGAGATATTAATTTAATATATATTGTGTATTACGACAAGCCTGGTTGGCGCAGTTGGTTAGCGCGCCAGTCTCATAATCTGAAGGTCGTGAGTTCGACCCTCACACTAGGCAAATATTTTATTATATACATTTTATTCTACAAATAGGCTTTTTTGTAAACAATGCTTTTGCCAGGTGCGGCGGAAGCATTTTTTGGTTTTCGAAATATCTAACTTCCAGACATGAAACAAACTCCAAACGTTTATATGTTTATACTTAGGTCAAATAAAGATACTTTGCAAAAAATGGCGATGATTCGAGCCTGGGAACATAAAAACCCCAAATTTCGGCCACCCCCATCCTGCCTCGAACGTGAGAACAACAAATTGATATAAAATTTTTTGTATTATTTTTAACTAGACTAATTATCATCGATAAATTTTAAACTTCTAAGTAAAATATTTTAGCGTTCAAAAATTATGGCAGTATAAAATTTTCAACCCCTCAAATTGAGGAGGGTTTAATGCTTCTGGCGAATTATGCACGTCGATGTGACGGTATGACCATACCGTTCTTGTTAATAACTAATAACAGTAATATAAAGTTTCTTATTTCTAATATCAATAATTTATTTTAAAACCAGTTTTATTTATTTTATTTAAAAGTTATTATTTATTCAAAAACATTTAGTTGTTAACAAGTGCTTGTTAATTGTGATAAATTAGAAAAACAAACATATTACCAAGCAATTTTTTTTTAATTAATGTGTAGTTGTATATTTTAATTAATGTGTAGTTGTATAAACATGAAACGCATTGAAATTCTTCTGGACTATGCTTGAAACCTTTTGTTTCGTAAACAATTAGAAAACGACATCAAGGCTGTACATTGAAGCACTGATCTCAAAATAATAACTGGATAGCGTATTCTATTGTTTTTCGTAAAAAAAGTTGAAGCCAATTTTGGCCTACCAAGATGGCGTCGGTTAGAACTGTTAGCGGTTTGAATCGTATAAAAATTCTGACCGAATAAGAAAAGTAAACTATTTTTAAGGAAAATAAGATGGCGAAATAAATTTATTTGATTATTAAAATATTCAGCTAGTATACACTTTTTAAATGAGGTTTATAATTTATGTACCTTTTAGTTCTTAATTACCCAATGCTGTGTGCTAGAAGGTTAATAACACAACTGTATGGTAAGCAGCAACGATGTCTACCTACAATCTTTAAAGAATTTTAAAATCATGAGTTTTGTAGGTAGAAACATTATTGTACCAATGCTGTATGAACTATTAGCTGAGAACTGTGAGTACACACAACTCAGAGGTTCCTTCTAGGATTATAAAAGTCATTTTATTATTTAATGCATTAACTTTCTGGACTCAATATTCAGTGAAAATATAAAACAATATTTATATTCCAAAGTAAAAAATTATCTTTTAAAATCATGAGTTTTGTAGGTAGAAACATTATTGTACAAATGCTGTATGAACTATTAGCTGAGAACTGTGAGTACACACAACTCAGAGGTTCCTTCTAGGATTATAAAAGTCATTTTATTATTTAATGCATTAACTTTCTGGACTCAATATTCAGTGAAAATATAAAACAATATTTATATTCTAAAGTAAAAAATTATCTCTCAATGACTTAGATTTAAAGTCTAACTCTTGTCAAACTCAACTGTGAATAATTATTCCTCGAAGTTTGAAGGATAATTATTGACAGTTTAACACATACATAGTATGTAAAGATGTAACATGTGTATGTTACATTTTATTGAGAATAAATTCTCTAGAGGAGGTTTAGTTAAACCAAGCAAAAGTGTTGTTTTGGTATGCGAAGGAACAGAAAGATGTTTCCAAAGGTTTCTTACATCAACAAAGATTACCCTCCCTAATGATATAGGAATTAAAAATGCAAATGCAAGTGTTGTTTTGAGATCAGTTGATATATCAAAAGTATTTACAGAGCTAACTCATCATATGCTAGATTCGTCTTTAACTGATAAGCATTTATTCTCACTGATTAAAGTTATTTCAAAAAATTACTGAAAAATACACTTTCATCACCAATGCAAAGAAGTAACTAATAAATTGACTGGAAAAAAGTTTAGGAAGCAGTTGATTAAATTTGTCTTATTCAAAAATCAATGAAAACATTTGTTTTTAGTATACCATTTTAGTGCACAGATATGGAAAGTACAAATTTTGGTCAAATTGAGATAAGTACGCAGAAAAACCTGTTTTTATTTATAGTTTATTGTGAATAAATATGGTATGTGTAGGATAAACGATAAAGAGTCTAATAATTGACAATATGTGGTAAATACAAAAACTCTTCTTATTATAATTACGCACACAAATGACAGTTTCTACAGTTTTAATCTAGCACTTACCACATCTGTGCACTATGTCATCGATATATACACAGTAAACTCCTGATAACTCAAACCTTTAAAAAATTGAACTTCCAGTATTTCCTCTGACACTTAAAGGTTACGACTTATCAGGAGTTATATATGCATATATATAATATACATACAAACATTTATATATATATATATATATATATATATATATATATATATATATATATATATATATATATATATATATATATATATATATATATATATAGTAGAAAATAAAACGAATTTCATGCAAATTTTACAACATTACAACATTAAGTTTCATGCTGATGCAATCATCAGGTGAAATAAAAATGAAAAGTATTTCACCTGATGATTGCAACACATAGTTTTATTATTTTCTATATTATAGCTCTGTTCATTAAACACCTTGATGGTATATCCAAGAAACATATATATATATATATATATATATATATATATATATATATATATATATATATATATATATATATATATATATATATATATATATATATATATATATATATATATATATATATATATATATATATACTCACTTAAATGTACTAGGTGAGTATATTTATGTGTGTGTATATAGTTAGTATATTTTTTTGTATTAAAAGAAAAATCTATTAAAATTAAACTAAAATAATTAATGATAACAAACTCTAGAAGGAACCTCTGAGTTGTGTGTACTCACAGAGCTCAGCTAATAGTTCATGCAGCATATATACATTACAAGTATCTGTTTAAAACAAATTTTTTTAAGACTGATTCATATTAAACAGATACTAAGCTGCCTATCATGCAGTTGTGTTATTAACCTTCTAGCACACAGCATAAGATAATTAAGAACTAAAAGGTACAAAGGTAGCTTAGTAATTAAACTTCATTGTTAATTTGCGCATAGTTTTGCTTTAGTGAAATGTGCAAAACGATTTAATAACGTTATTTAAAAAATCTCGAAAATAACAAAATATTTTTAATCCTTAAAACCTAATAATAAAATTTATAAAAAGTTCCATATATGTATAAAAAAAAAAAATATCGCGTATTTACAATATTATATATATATATACTTATATATATATATATATATATTTATAAAATATATATATATATTTGTTATTAAATATGTATCAAGTCTAAGTTTTCTATAGTGTATAGTTGAACTTTAAAGACATTCATAGCCTTTCCGCCCTTTATTTAGCCTTATTTTTAGTAAATTAAACTGTGACATCCATAGAAAGAGTCGAATCTTTAGTACGCGATGGAAACCACATATAATGATATCTAAAATCAAATAAACCTCTCAATTAATACAGCCATACCTATTTAATTAGGATACCCTGTGTCCCGGATAATAAATAAATATACAACTGTTATCACAGAAAAATAAAAATACATTAGATATTAAGCACAATAACTAAAAAACACATTAACAAACATAATCAATCTCTAAACAAATATGATCTAACCGATTTAATATTGAAATGAAGAAGATCAACAAACATCAAAGCAAGCGTGTAGTACTCATCATGTTGTGTAACCTTGCAATTATAGATAAGATAAAATATATATAAGATATATAAAATTAAAAAAAAAAAATTAAAAATATCAAGACTTACAAGCAATTACTGTATAATAAATTAATATTTAACTGTTAATTACTGCAAAATAAATTAATATCTAACTATAATAACATCTTACTGAATTATTTAATATAATCTTGAGGACTTTAAGACAGTAGCAAATTGCAATCTTTTAGCATGCTATTAGTTAAAACCTTGCAATAACAGATAAATAAAAATACATTAGATATTTAACACAATAACTGAAAAACCCATTACAAAATAGAGAAGAGGAGAATGATTTCCTATATAAAAACAAAAAACAAAATCACCTAACTCTTGATACACAACAAATTTTACTATTACAAAACAGAAAAAACATTAAAAGTTGATCCTTCAATACTGTACAAAAAAGAAAAAGATACCTGTTTCAGATGTAAAGTCTTGAAACAAACCATTTTGCAGACATTCACATAACGTCAAGCCAGAACACAAAAATATCTTCAATATGGAATAATTATAGATCAAAGTACCACATGTGTGAAAAAGCATATGTATTCTGTTCCCTCTATAGCATGGTAGCAATCTTCTGGGCAACTCGTGTTGGTCCAAAAAGAACCCAAAACCCTTTGGATCACTTATGAATTACATAAAGAAAGTTAGTTGGCTATTGCAAGGAGAATGTGAAATAAAAACATGCAATAATTATAATATTTATTTTAGTTTAACTCAATTAAAAACAATTTTATTCACAAACCTACACTATATTAAAGTAAAAGAATTATAAATACCTTTTGCATCCTTGTAGCGAAGTTTGTATTGCAGAATTGTGTAGAAAATGAATTGTGTAGTGAATGAAACCAGGAACTTAACACACAAGCATGTCGTATATAAGTGTTCTAATATCTGCTGAGTAGTGTTTTTGAGTTTTGTGTTACTTGCTGAATTTCCTCCAACTCTTCCTGTAAAATCAGTATCAATGTCATTTTGCAGTACAAGAATTGCATAATTTTTTTCAGCAAGTTGTTGGTATAAAATTGTCTTTTGATAAGAAAACTTGGTTTCGATTAATGTTAACTGCTGTTTCAAACAAAAAAATTAAATCTCTTTCTCATAACCTTTTTCTGGGACTTAACTAGTCAGCTCTCTAACTGGATAGTGGTTCATGAGAAGAGGTTTCTATAGCAGGACCAGATAAAAGAGATAAGTGACCACTGTTTGATACAGATAAAACACTGATTTGTTGAAAGGGAAATGAAGAACATATAGCAATGTGAATTGAGGTTGCAATTGATTGCGATGTTTGTGCCATAGCAGATGTTATTATTTGGTATGCACAGAGCATGTTGCAGATGTCAATAAATTGTTTTGAATCTCGTGAAAAATGGTTTACAAAGTTTTTTGATGTTTTAACTAGTTGCAGAATCTAATTAGTACAAACTTTGATGTTAAAATACTTATTGATTACTTCTACAGTTACTTTATATGAATCCTTGTTAGTTGCCAATATATGCAGTAGGCGTCCGTTGCTACAACCAATATTTAAATGAGCTAGTAGTGAAAACTACAAGTTAACTAACTTTTAGCTTTACCATCAAGTAGAAATGTTTCCTTTTTAGGTCCCACGATGCACTAAATCAAACAATCATAATACAACTATTTAATTGGGTTGGCTTTTAAACACAACTAACTAATTTAAAAAATTACTGTTAACCTATAAAAAAATGTGTAGATACATTTATTATTATTCGCATAGATAAAACATGTATATAATTTTTATGTATCATAGAGCTTAAGGTGGTTATATAGTAAATTCTGGGTATGGAAAAAAGCTGAGAAAATGCTGAGTCCCCATATAAAAGTGTCATTTAATTTTTATTTCACCATATTAAATTATCTTTAGGAGAACTTTGCTTTCAAGGCAAAGTTCTGCCAAAGATAATTTAAATTACTTACTCTTTTCACACACCGAAATTAGTTTCAAGGCAGCCTTGAAACTGATTTTGATGTGTGAAAAGAGTAAGCAATAAAAAATATATACAATAAATAACACAATAAATGATTATACAATTATTTAAAAAAATCAACAGTATTGTTAGTAACAAATGACTATTTTAAAAAAGTAAAACTTTTTAATGAAAGTTCTTATAAAATATTTCATTATTATGAATAAAAAAACAAGTATACTGAATGCTCACTGGCTAACACCGGCGAATTGCCCTCCCCCGCCTTAAACTATGTAACGGAAATGGAAATACATACCTCCACTGCACGATAAAATAGGGTTTCTGGTCATAAATATTTTTTAATGAAATTTGGCAGGCACATAGAAAATAGATTTATACAGTTGCCTGGAAAATTTAAAAAGTGTACCAACATACCTTCAATATTAATGCACCTCCGAAACAGAAATAAAATTTTAAAAATGAATAAAAATCACTGGTAATTGTAAAAAAACAACAGAATTTATAACAAGAAGTAACAGTAACAGTAGCAGAAACAGTTTAATAAAGTGTAACAGTAACAGTAACAGTAAAAAGGGTGGAAATTGAACCTCCACTGGATCGAAAACTACGTTATGTGGTCATGAATATTTTTAAATTATATTTTGCAGGCACATAGAAAATTGATTTATACAGTTGACTAGAAAATTTCAAAAATGTACCAACATGCCTTCCATATGAATGCACTTCCAGAAAAGGAACGAAATTTTAAATAGCAATAAAATAACTGAAAAATTTATTAACCATAAAAAAAACACGTAATTTATTCAACATTAAACATTCGACTTTTTTAATAAAGTCTGAGTTGACATAAAAAAGACAAATAAATACATTCTTACCACACCGACTTCGAGCACGCTGTGAAAAAAAAGGTTCCAGTTTTTAACTTTGAAATCGGTGCCGTAAAAAGCCAGATACGCACGTACCTATATATATATATATATATATATATATATATATATATATATATATATATATATATATATATATATATATATATATATATATATATATATATATATATATATATATATATATATATTATATATATATATATATATATATATATATATATATATATATATATATATATATATATATATATATATATATATATATATATATATATATATATATATATATATATATATATATATATATATATATATATATATATATATATATATATATATATATATATATATATATATATATATATATATATATATATATATATATATATATATATATATATATATATATATATATATATGTATATATATATATATATATATATATATATATATATATATATATATATATATATAAATATATATATATATATATATATATATATATATATATTATATATATATATATATATATATATATATATATATATATATAAATATATATATATATATATATATATATATATATATATATTATATATATACCTACTTTTATTTAAAAAAATTTTTTTTTTTAAAAAAAAACAACCTTATTTGTGTTTAAAATTTTATCTTTATCGATTACGCTTAAGGTTTTTTGATTTTTTAAACGGTACTTCTATAACCGTTGGCAAACTACGCCGCCATCTTGGTAGGCCAAAACTGGCTTCAAAAATTTTTCCGAATGCGCTATCCAGTTATTATTTTGAGATCAGTGACATTGAAGCTTTACCTTTAAACGCTGACGCAAATAGGTATGATAATAATAATTTAAAAATATAGTATTTTGATAATATTCGAGAAAAACATTAAAAATGGCGCAATGAAACGGCAAACATCAACTTCTTTACAAACTTCATATTAAATGAATGGAGTACTACAAGAATGAATGAAATTATGATATACATCTAATGAAACATTAAAATTTAGTTATTTAGAAAACGTTTTTTAAAAATCGTTTAAGTTGTCTTTTTAATCAAATGTCGAAGCAAGAAAGAAACTAAAACTAACAAAAAAATCACGAGCTTCTATTTAATTACCGAATTTTAATAAACCTTTTGCCGAATAATTGCAATAACTAATGGTTAAAACTTTGCAGCATATCCCTAGAATAATTCATTTTTTGATGTTTTAATAAAAATCATTTCAGTGAATTTTGTTGTTTTTTTGTCCAGTGAAACTTGTTTTTATTTTTATTATTGGTTTCAATACTCATATTTTATACTCCCGAGACGACTTGAAGTTGCTTTGATGTTTGCGGCTCGATGAACTTCCATCTGTTTTATACTTCCATGATTAAAACCATTATCCTCCCTACCCTATATGCTTTAATGCGCTATTTAAAGACCCCATCCTACTCCCTATGTGCATACGTACTTTATGGGCGGGCTCAAACACGAAGTTAAAAAGCATTATCTACAACGGAGAAGTTTAAAAGATTTTTTAATTTGCACGCACGATCGATTGGATTCGAATGGATTTTATTCGAATGCGTTTATCTTCAATGAAATAGGCGTTTCACTTAAACAAACTAAAGAAACTCTCAAGAAACTTTAGTACTAGATACGTAAAATTGGAAATAAGAATCTTTATAGTACTAGCCTATTTGCTTCGTTTCTTAATAAATAAAAAAGAAAATTTGTGTACTTTGCAGAGGGCGTAGAGGGTGTCTATCCCCCTCTACAAATTTTATTAGTCGGCAAAATGGAATGTATAGTTGGCAGTCGGCAAGGACCATTTTTTTTTTTTACATAAGTTAGCCAGCAAAAATCTTTTTTGGCTTTAGGCGGCAAAAAACAGGTACATCACCCCTTCCCCCCGTTTAAATCTCTTTGGGACAGCCCTGACTTTGCAGAACTATCAACTTTTAAAAATTAGACTGAGGAATTTTATTATATTACCCGACTACAAAGTATTTGCCCACTAAATATCTGTGGCATTAAAAAAATACGGTCCTCAAAATTAGACTTGGTAAATATAGTTGAAGTATTATCCTTTATTTCCATCGTCATACTTTGTAGTGCTAGCCCATTTTATTGAACTATGACAGATGTTCACTTTGCAAACGGTAAACGACTTGTTTTTGTAAATGAAAAAAAAAAAAACAATTATAAAGAAACTGATTTTAACATTTTGGAAGAATTTAGATTTGTTTTTATGTGTAAAAATGTTTTCGGCAAAAATCCGTATGGCACCCCCTCCCCACTTAAAACTTATTTTCGCCGGCCCTACTCTCTCAAAGATGTATGCATCATATCTCCAGCAATGATGACTGAACTACAAATGAAAGACGTGTATCCCTTCTTAACAGAGAAATACATGACACCAATGTTTTCGTGACATGTCTATACTCTGCAAAATTGACTTGGCTCTTCCTTTTTGCATTTGCTTATGATGAGAGAAGTTTCAGTAGAATAAATGTTTTCTGTGATCAACAATGGCAAAATATCTTTACGGATTGACAATAGTTATAATCAAATGTGAGCTTGCTGACAGCTTTGACTTTGAATTATCAAGAAGTAATTTTGCTTCGACGCATTTCTCGTACGCATTTGAAAATATTATATTTAAAGACCATATTTTACGTTACATCATTAAAAATATTTTTAAATTATTAATTACCACAAAAATCTTCGTGAAATTACGAAAAAATATGTAAAAAAAAGGAATTGGTACTACCAATCCATAGAGTAACTTAACTTATATAGAAATGTTCTAAACATTGCTCGATTTATTTCATTGAATTTATAATATTTAAGGCCGTAGATAAACTGATCTCCAATATACACGTCTGAATCTCCATATGTTTAAAGTATTTTTGTTTTATTTGAAAAGAGTTATAATCACTGATCTCTATAATTATTATAGAGATCAGTGATTATAAGTGGTTATAATATAAGCAACACAGCTACAAAAATAGGATATTTGACACAATTTATGCAAAATTTATGCAATTAATGGAAAATATATGCAAACAACAATTCCTAGAAAAGTTATGTGACTAGCTTCAGCCAATCCACAACCTCCGTTTTATCAACAAAGCTCCATTACTCAAAATGGCGGATAAAGACACTCCACACGTTACAAATAAGCCAAAAAAACGTCGATCATCTGGCAGAAAAAATGATCAGTTGAAGAAAGTACGTAATTTAAGTCATCAAACAGGAGAAGACTGTAAGTGCAAACGATTTAAATGTTTTGAGGCCACAACAAGAGAAGAGAGAGACCGCCTCATTACTGCTTTTAATGAGCTTCAAAGCAAAGATGATCAAGACGCCTTTCTGTCTACACAAATTGGTGTGCTAAATGTTGCAAGAAGGAGATCACAAACAGATGGCACAGATCCAAAACCAAAAGACAAATCCGACAGTTATATGATCAAGGTTCAACGGGATGACAAAGTTGAAGAAGTAGATGTTTGTGTCAAGGGATTTATTGCCATTTTCGGAATCAATCGCAAGCGAGTTAGGACAATACAGACAGCACTGAAAGAAACTGGTAAGCAATCTAGATTATTATTATTATTATTATTATTATTAATATTATTATTATTATTATTATTATTATTATTATTATTATTATTAGTAGTAGTAGTAGTAGTAGTAGTAGTAGTAGTAGTAGTAGTAGTAGTAGTAGTAGTATATGATACTGACAGGCTATTTTTATAATAGCTTATGCTTACACAACTCGATGGTGAATCTAGGCACCGCGAGATAAAAATAAAGCACACAATGGTTAGGAGAATTTTAGTGGAGTTTTGCTAATCCCTAATAAATTTCTGTTAGCACTAACGCTAATCCCTAACTATTTGTAATGGATTAGCGAAAGTCAGTTATGCTAACAGCAGCTGATCCTCACAACCCAAAGTAGTATGCATTTGTTAGTACTTTTTGTAGTTTTACTGTTGTTGTTGTTCTAAAATTTTTGTCTGTGGTCTCGCAATTATGGTTCTGTGTGTTTCTTACAGGATTTCCACCAAAAAGACAAGCAAGGGAAGCACAGCAACCATGCCCGAAAGCTGACAGCAGATATGAGAGAGCTTGTGATTGCTCATATTGGCTCATTCAAGGGGCGTTCATTTCACTACTCTCGCAAAAAGTCTAGTCGCCTCTACCTGCCAGAAACACTCAACATTACAAAAATATTTAATCTTTTCTGTGAGCAGCATCCTGGTGTTACCCTTTCATATGAGTCCTACAGAACCATATTCAACGAGAACTTTAATATTTCATTCGGGTACCCTAGATCTGACACCTGTTCTGCATGTGATGAGTTTCAAGCAAAAATTAGCAGCATTGGCTCTCAGCTTCTTGCACGTTCTGGTGATGAAGAGGATTTACAGGCACAGAAGGCTAAACTCTCTGCAGAAAAGGAGCTTCATCAAGGCAAAGCAAAAATATTCTACAAGCGGAAAAGAGCGACAAAGAACGCATGTAAACAAGATAAAAATTCTCTCGCAATTGCCTTTGATTTTCAGAAGGAGTTGCTTGTACCAAACAAGACCACCAGCGATATATTTTATCGACGCCAGCTGTCCCTGCACTCATTTAACATTCTCGAGCTTGCAGGGGATAATATGTACATCTACACTCATAATGAAACAGTTGGTAAACGTGGATCAGACGATGTGGCTTCAATCCTGTATCATTTCATTAAACATAGTGTTCCACAGAATGTAAGGAATATTGAAATGTTTTGTGATGGTTGTGCCGGCCAAAACAAAAACTGGACAGTTATTAGGTTCTTATATGCCCTTGTGCATCTTTGGAAAAAGTTTGACAAAGTGAAAGTAAAATTCCCAATTCGTGGTCACTCTTATATGGAATGTGATCGGGATCTGAGCTTGGTAAACAAAACAAATCCTATTGATGTTCCTGATCAGTGGGTGGAAGAATTTAGGAGTGCTCGTGTGAGGCTTTCCCCTTACAATGTGATCATAATGGACCAGGAGAGCTTCTTCAAAGTTGCAGCCTACCTGAAACCACTGTTCAAACC